GCATATGAAAATTACATAACATAACTTGATCATATAGTTAAACTCATTACAGATCTGCTGCTAATTTCATCTGCGAAACACCGTCAAAGTATGTGGATGGTTTGAATTACCATTTTTATGTTTGGGATCGTAAACATTGTTTGACGAGAATCCGCAGTGTGCGCTCGCAGTGCTTCAATTCGTGCTCGTCGTGAGTGTAGATGGAGGATGTTGTTGACAGTAAGCTGACTGACTGGTTCAGTTCAGAGGAGCATAGTCGTTCACGTGTTCAAATCTGAATAATAGCACGAAAATGAAAATCTTGTCAGCATATTATTCTCCGAGCAGTGAACAAATTCGTTGGAAATTTCAGCTTTCAAATAGAGGATCACGCACTATCGTGCAGATCACTAATGGATCGCCAGATCGCCAATTCATCAGCTTTTTTTGGAGAAACAATTGATGATAGAGCAATCGTACTAAGGGCAGTGAAAATAGTGATAGTGATAAAGTTACTGGTAGAGACAATCATAATATCAATGAAAGTAAGTGGCAACCGAAGTAATTGCAGTGATAAGAATAGCAACAATGGCAACAACTAAAGAAGTGGCCGTCTAATAGCGGCATTACCTTCAAAAATGATTAATTAAGTTAACGGTAGAACTGAACGAGCTAAAAGATTATTGTGACTGAGTTCGAGCAGCCCATAAAACACTCTTAGCAGTTTATTGACTGCCCATTGAAAGCAGACACGAACGAGAGGAGAAAGTAATGTATTTTTTAATGATTTAACAGAAGTTGTTTTGCTAAACATCCAATGATGAAATGATGCGATAACAACTTAGACGTTCAACTCATTGTCAATATTTCATTGGAATGCATTACGAATGAATAAATGGATGAATATATGAGAGAATACATCGACGAATCGAAGAATATTCATGATTTGAATGAATTCCACAACATTCATTCGAGTAAGTTCTCGTATCGACTGTTCAGTAACGGTCAGTCACCAACTGAAGAAGCATCAGACAGGAAGCGAACCGAATATACAGCAATCCCACTGAAATCTCTGAAGACACTTGAATAATTTAGCGTTCTTAATTGCTCCTAAAAGCACTTGAACGGCTGTTAAACGATCAAAATGACGGCAAGAGTGAAGAGCAGTCGAACAGTCATCACAAATATGCGCTGAACAATTTGAATTACGAACGAATCAGTCGTTTTCGTCGTAAATGTCAGCGAAATCGCGAATAAATAATTCGATTCCAAATGGTTACGAAACATTTTGTTAGCATTTAGAAGGTTTGAGCCATCGAATTTAATTGATGAACCTGCGTAATTCAACAACGATTCGTTCAATGCACGCAGTTGATATTTCATGCTTTATTGTTTCATTTCTATTCGCAACAACCATATCCTCCTTAATCTGTTATAAATCCGTAAATTGTTCTACGTTTGCCGTTTCATTTGCGGCTTTCAACGACCACTTGTTGAAGCAAAGCGTTTTGCATTCCGCATTTGTACAATCCACAAATGAATTTCTCAAAGTAATAATCGATTCGCAATTCAAAGAAGTGGCCATTTCCCGAAACACACCATAAACATTCATTGTGCTACAAAACGATACACACTAATTAAGACAGCAAACAACCCCATAACATTTGTATTCGGAGCGAAACTCTTACGCACTATTAAAATTTTGCAATTGTCTAATGAATACATATTGTGAAACGATATCTCTGAGGGACACGTCAACGAATCCAAGTTATTAGAGTCAGTTCGATTGAAAGAATGTTCGTCATACGTAATTTATGTTCTTCGCAAAAACGAGGAAATAGGAATCAAAAATCACATGGTTTTTTCCATGATTGCTTCAGTAAAGTAAACCAAACAAAGTGCAAATTCAGTCAACTAGTCGAGAGTTAGCAAGGATAAAGTCCACGAAATGACGAGAGCCAGAAAAAATCGATGGAAGTTTGCGATGACTGCAGAGCGAGATTGATTTTGATTATAATAGAATAGACAGATTGATCTCAGCTCAACTGTTTAATCGAGATAAGCAACTGCGAGAATAGTGCGTATGTGCGTGCTTAATGCCTGTGTATGTATCCTCGAAAGCACTTCGCGAACCTCTTTCCTATCGAATCTTCTTCACATCACTAGGCATATTCATTCACTTCACGCTTTCGGTATCGTCACTCGCAAATT